CTTAGTAATATCGACCGTTTATATTAATTTCATAATATCGACTGATTATATAATAGCCGTTTGTATTAATTTCATACATATCGGCCTATAGCAACCATATAAGTCCATTGACTAATATGGTTGTAGTCATATAACCTACGCTAATTAATCGTCTGTGATTCTTACATGATCCGATCGTTTATATAATTAGTCGTTTTATATAATTTCATTCTTGTTGGCATACTATCGGCCTATAGCAACCATGATTAAATTCAGCTCGACTAAATATGGTTGATAGTCATATAACTTCCGGTATCAATACTATCGTATCGTTGATTCTTATAATATCAATCGTTTATATAATAAGCGATTTATACTTATTCATATATATCGCCATATTAGCCAACCATATAAGGTATTCAATAATATGTTATACTTTTGCAAGTCATATAATAACACATGATAATTAACATCGTTGTAGTTCTTAGAATATCGACCATTTTCTATATTTAATATGATATAGGCTCAGATCTGTGGGTGTGAGTTATATACATATGGCAATCGCGTGTTCATCCAAAATATTTTGTAGTTCGTAAATATATAATTGAGTTTTCGGTAGCGGTGTTATAAAATCGCGTAATATAAAAGCACATTCTTAATATAAATTTGATATTCATATAACCTATGCTAATATAAGTTGTATTCTAGATATCTATTGGACCTTATATAAATAGCCGTTTATATTCATTCATCACATATCAGGGCATATAGGAACCATATAAGTCCATTCACTCAAGTATCAGTTGGGAGTCGTAGTAAACCTATGGCTAATTAATCATTTGATTCTAGTTAAATCATTCGACCATCTTACTATAATAGCCGGTTTATACTTACAATATCATATACATATCGCCTATTAGCATACAAATAAGTTCCTTCCATAATATGTTTAGTCTTCATAACCTTGCTAATTATATCGTTGTGATTCATACTTAGATAATCAAACCGTTATATATAATTCTAGGCTTTAATAATTAATTCACCACATATTCGAATTATAAGACAACCACACTATAAGTCATCATCTTCTGAATAATTTTTATGTTCAGTGGCACTTATAACCCTAATGAAGCGCACAAATCTTATATCATATGTGATTCTTAGTAATATCACCGTTTTCTATATATATAGACCATTATTAATTTCATCACATAAATAAATGTCATCTATTGCCTATTGATTACAACCATAATTAAAACCTTCTATTTCCGACTAGCTGATTATGACGTCTGTATTCAATAATCAGTTAAAATCACTATTAATCGACTTATTATTTACTTATAAGCTTACGTTAATCATGGATTACATCTTTCACCACAAATGATGCTTGAATTATAAATAAAAAGGAGAATCCAGATTAAATTTTTAAGAACTTTATTAGGAGGGAAAACAACGATGACATCTTTTGGAACTAAAATGTCTAAATACCAACTTTCTCGGAGTGGAAAATCAAAGGAAAAGTAAATAATATAATCTGGAGGAAATAGGAAGAGTTTTGAGTTGTCATATACTCTCCTTTAAAGAACACTAAGAAACGACATTTCCAACTCTTAAACAACATAGATACCTTCTAACAATGAATGCTAGAGGATAGGATTTGAAGATGACTTCTCATCCTATGGTATTTCGGAGTGCCTACGGATCTATAGAGTTCTCTACTACACCTGACGCTATGCTTCCCACTGATTGCTTTCTACCAGTAGTACAGGCATCGTGACCGCCAGTTCTCAACATTCAAAGCTGATTATGTTCGTCTCACGTAATGTCAATTTTTTTAAAATATTTTCTATGAGTTTGATATACATCGTGACTTAGTGCCCAGACTAGCTATAATGCGGAAAGCTATGAACCTTCATGTCCTTTACTCCATTCAGATGCTCTAGTCAAGTTCTCTCTCAACGAAGAGTATCTTTCTCATTCTCTCATCTATTTCGACGTTTTAAAAACAATGCTTCGTGATTTACATTAATAATTGGGTCAGGAGGAAGGGTTAGACTTCCACAAGTAGGTGTTCGAGCAGAAGACTCATTTAAACATGGATTGGAAATAATCTGTTGCTCGACAATAATCTGAAGAAAGGGTTTTGCTTCTTAACTAGCTCAAGGGCTACTTCAGGGGCTCGTTGATGCTTCTACTGTCTGAAAGTGCTTAGCGATAAACCTAAATGTTAGCTTTGATAATTTCTTTCTCTTTAGTTTATATTACCTAACTTCAAGTGGATCAAGATAATGGATTAATTGATGTATCTATAATTATTGTTTGTCATTCCATTTTCATTATTAGTTGTCTACTATTATATTTATTTTAAGGAAGAGCTATTGGTTTAAAACTCAGCCATTCATTAGAACATTGAAGAACATCATTTAAACAATAATATTTATATGCAGAAGCTCCCCTATTCTTTTCTATCATTTTACAAACCAAGAAAACAAAAACTAGGAAAAGATTATTTTTTTTTGTTAAAGTTTAAAAATCGACATTAACTTTGCTCATAGAGAAGTGGAAAAATCACACACGTAAAATAAAAAATTAATACTTCACCACTTACAAAATTTTTGGCGAGACCAGAAATCCAGTTATTATTAGAATTCAACCAACCAAGATGAAGAGTTAAAGACTATGAGATAAAACCTATGAAGTGCACTCTCACTATTATGGGTAGAAATGTTAAAAAAAAATTTTTAAAAAAAAAAAAAATCCAAAAAATGTGAAGTTGCACTTGCCACTGATATGGTCAGAAGTTAAAAAAAAATTCAAAAATCTGATAGCGGGGATGCGGATAAAGACAAGCTTCTTCTACAATTAATTTGTCAGTCGGAAGAGTGGGGAGTAATGGTTGAAGGAGGTGTTAATGTGCACTAGAAGGAGTGAAAATGACTACTGGAAAGGTTGTAATGTGCATGAAGGAAGTTGGAGAGGAACTGACTGGGAAGGTAATAGATGTGCATGGAGGAAGGGAAGGGGCTGCTAGGATGTGCTAATGTCCGCATGGAGGCAGCGGATATTAGCTACTGGGAAAGCTGATAACGGTTGCATTAGGGGACCTCTACAAAAAGAGACATTCTAAAGTTCCTAGTTTGGAAAGCTGACCAAATTATATAGCTTCAGCCAAACACCCTCCTTAGTCACCAAGCCTTTTTTCACCGACTATAAAATATACCAATTTTAGACAAATAACAAGTTTTCACTAGTTGCCTACAATATTAGAGATGAAATACTAGTGTGTCACCAGTAACTTTAGTATTGTGACTAATGTTACTAATAACTAGCGACAATCCATTTTTTTTGGTGGAAAACTTAGTAGAATAAAACTATCTCTACGAAATTTTTGTTTCTTCACTAAATGTATTTGCGTGTGCATTTAAGTACGACTCTTAATTTTGTTTCCAAAAGATAATAACAGTGATGAACTTTATATGCTACCTAATAATTTCATAGGTAAAATAGAGATGATCAACCGAATTGTCGCTAAATTTGTTTATGCTATTAGTGACAAAAACTAAGGTTGCAAAAAAAATATAAAACTTTTAGTTGAGGAACTATTTTATAGCGAAAATATAACCAATTTTAAGAAACGAACAATTATTTGTCACCAATTGTCTACAACATTAGTGACGAAAACTAATTTATTCACCAATAATATTAATTTTGTGGTAATATTAATAATATTTGCGTCGCCAATTCTTTTTTGTGAGAAACTTTAGTAGACAAACTTTTGCTATAAAAATTTATGTTTTGTCACTAAAAGTATGTGGCCTCATGTTATTTAAGTACGAAATATAAATTTTAGTCACAAAAAATGAAATAATTAGTGACAAATTTTCTATTTGTAGCTAATATTTTCGTGGTTGAAAATCACACTTGTTGTAGTGGCAGCTTTTAGTTGAAGCACTATATATTTAAAGTGTTAGGGTTAGAAGTAATAAAATATTATTTTAGTGAACAGTAATATAAAAACTATAATACAATAGTCTTAATCGTATTTTTTAGTATACTATGCGTATATTTTAGTTTATTTATTTAATTGGTATAGTATATGTATATGAGTATAAATTGCTTTATGAAAAGTAGTGTAGCATGCATGTGTAAATGTGAAAGAAGCATAGGGACGGTAAGACAATTAAACTAATAGAGAGAAATTGGAAGGAAAAAATTAAATTAAAAAACAAATTTGCTAAAGGGATATCTGGAAAACGAAAATGCTAAATATCCATTATGCCTCAAAAGCCTGTGCGATTCATAGTTTACCAATAAGATCCCCATTCTGGACATTTGGGCAATATTAGTTTGGCCAGAATATAAATTATATTATATATATATATATATATATATATATATATATATATATATATATATATATATATATATATATATTTCAAAATACTCTCTCCGTCTCATATTAACAATCGTGGTTACTAAAAATAGTTGTCTCAAATTATTTGTCATTTTAGAAGTTCAAGACAAAATTAATTATTTTTTTCCTTTTTTACTCTTAATAATAATTGTTCTTGAAAATGGAGATAACACATAAATAGGATAATAAATATTCAATGAAGAGAGATTATATCTTATGACATAAATAAGGGTAGAATAGTCCAATCCCTTTCCTAATTAATATTTCTTAAGGGGCATGTAAAAGAGAAACACGACACATAATATGAGACGGAGGGAGTATTACCATAATTAACAGGAGAAGAAGGGAAAATAAAAACATGAAAAAGCAAAATAAATTGTTCTTTTTAACGTTGTTTATCAGGCAATAGACCTACAAGTGCTGGCTTTGTCCTCTCCCTTATGCCTTGCCAATGCACAAAGTTAAGAAATGTATACCAACCTTTCATAAGAAGCAAACCTATTTAAACAAAGTAATACATCCTCTGCTCTTTTATTTATTTATGCTAGCTTTCTATATATAGTGACCAAATCATACACCAAAATGTCAAAATAAAAATAAAATAAAAATCTAACTGGATTTTCTCTTCATTTTCTTCAGCTACAAACCCCTTTTTTCTGCAACTTAGAAGCCATGGATCCTGTAACATACCAGTATTATCGACCTGCTTCAAGGATAACAATTTTTGCACACTTGTTTGGTCTTTTGGCTTTGATTCTTATGCTTGTTTGGTTGCTTCATTATCGCGAAGGCGTTAATCTTTTTTCTTACTATGCAAATCAGATATTTAATGTATGTATATACTTTGTTAACTATATTCAGTTAGTTAATCAATGTCAGATACTTTATTATTGTTAATTGTCACTGTTACTTTCTGCAGGTTCACCCACTTTTGATGTTCTTGGGGATGATTTTCTTGTCTGGCCAAGGTATACAATTATTATTCTCCATGCACCCCTTCCCCTAGCTAATACATGAACAAAAAAGAAACAATTGAATTGTACTAACAAACATTAGTACTCTTTTATAGTGATTATTTGTTTTTTAATGAGTCGCTTACTAAATAAACTAATTTATGCTTAGAAATGATCAGTCTCAAGTCTCAACATCAACAAATACTCCATTTGTTGCACTTTTACGTGGCACTATTACTATTCGAGAGTCATACAAGGTTTTGTTTGACCACAATATTTATTTGCTAAAACTTATTAAATACATTAAATTATTGATTATTGTGATTTATACTATTTTTATGTAATTTCTAAAGATGCAAATTTTATTTGAAAATTTTGAAAAGTTCTATATCCGAATTTACATTTAAAAAGTAAGGTTAATTGATCTTCGTATTTCGAAAAATTCACATAAACTGGAACGATATTAATATTGTTTTCAATATGATGACATGTTTTGTATGAGCAGCACTGATGGCATACAAGACAGAGAGAACAGATAGGAAAGTGCAGAAAGTGGCACATTTTTTACTACATTTAGCTGCAATTTGTCTGGGGATCGTTGGTATACATGCTGCTTTCAAGTACCATGATAGAAGGAATTTAAGAGACATGTATAGCTTCCACTCCTGGATTGGCATTGCCACTATCTGCCTTTACATTTTGCAGGTATATATTTATCAACTAAATATTCAGAGGCGAATTGGGGATTTAAACTCTATGGGTGAGTTTCTTACCACTGAACTCATATCCTTAAAGTTATGGGTTCATATCTATAATTTATTGCGATTTTAGTGATTTTTTGCATATATAAATTTATACTCCACGTTGAAAGATATGGGTTCATATCTCTAATCTATTGCGATTTTAGTGATTTTTTGCATATATAAATTTATACTCCACGTTGAAAGTTATGGGTTCAATTGAACGCGGTGTTATAGGGCTGCATACGCCCTGTATACATTATATTCTCTATTATTCTTGTTATTGTTTCTCTTTTCATGAAAAATATTTAATTTTTCTTATCATCTATTCTTCGGTTAAACCTTTAAATGAGTTTCTCAAATCGCCCTCTAATATATGGACTTCATTTAATTTTGTGATCTAATGCAAAATCTTTTTAGTTTTATGTCAAATCTTCCGAGATATTTCATCAAAATACAACACAAGAGATCATTGCAGTTTGTGTCATTTTCTTCTATTCAAATTATAAAAGGTTATGTTAAACCATTTCCTCGTTGATTGATTTAGAGCTTTTTTGAGATTAGTTATTGTGGTGACCCATCTAGTTATGAGTATCAAATTTTATTCTTAATTTAAATTTCAGTTGCTCTTGCACGTTATGCATAATTATTTCCCAAAAATAAATCTCCTATTATCTGTCAAATTAATGAACAGTTTTACACACAGATCAGGAGTGGCATATTGATGGATTGATTTTGTTGTTTAATTTATTCTCTTTTTTCTATTTTTGTTTTGCTTTTGAAATGTGGAAATTGTAATTGAAGTTTATTTTAATGAAATATTTTTCTTCATTTTTCTGCTGTAGCTCTACTTACGATTGCACTGTACTTAATTAGCTAAATTGTAAGTACTTAATATCAAATAAAATGGTTTAGGGATGATGAAGATTTGTCAGTATCGTCTATGTAAAAGAATATAAAGACTAGTGGGAATCTTCTATTCAGGAGAATAGTACATAAATAGAATATCCATCTTCTATGTGGATCAGCCACTGAGGGGAGGGGTTCAGTTGAGAGACATCGTCACGTGGTAAAATATGTTTACACAAGACAAATAGATGCATGATCTGTACTCCCTCCGTTCTAATTTATGTAAACCTATTTCCTTTTTGGTCCGTTCCAAAAAGAATGACTCCTTTCTAAATTTGGAAACAATTTAGCTTAAACTTACAATTCTACCCTTAATGAGAAGCTTTTATAACCACACAAATACTCTGGGCCCCTTTTTGACTTGTTTAGGACCACAAATTTTAAAAGTCTTCATTTTTTCTTAAATTCCGTACCCAGTCAAACATGTTCACATAAATTGGAACGGAGGAAGTAATATATATGCATATATAAATTTTCACTAAGTTACAGTTACATATTGTATGTTTTCACCTTATTAAGTCACTTAATTAAGTTAAATATAATTTTTTGTGTACATTTGATATAAGTAAGTTTTTATCCACGTAACGCTGTGATTCTTCCTTACCGATTCACGCCCGAATAATCCACGTTTTACTGAACCACAAGCCAAGTTACTCCTATTATAGGTCTTTTTATATGATATTGTGCTAACTATTATGATGACATACTCAAAGCAAACCAGGAGATACATGTACACGTAACTTCTATAGGCTATTTTCACGGCTCGAACCCGTAACCTCTTGGTCACATGACAATTACTTTACTAATTAGCCAAGACTCCCCTTCTTTGTACCCATGGCATGCTTGCCATAAAAAAGCTCGAGTCACAACTTACTCTTGCCCTCAAAATATATCAGCACTCATTCTTGAACTTTTGACAGGACAGTTTTGACAGGAATATTGGCCGAACATTCGATTTAGGAGTAGTAGTTTTGATATTGAAGAATTTGGTACCGGGTTAATTTTCCCTTTATTTAACTGTTTTTCACCTTCTTTTCTTCTTGACGAACAATAGGGGCTTCAAGCCCATGTCTAGGCCCAAGACCTTCTGTTAATGAAGCCCAAATCTTTTTTATCATTACAGTTTAGGAAAAATGACAACGTATAGCCGCTCTTAAAATAATAGCCGAAAAATGTATATTTTTTTTAATATGTTTTTGGTATATATACATTTTGTATGTTATATACAAAAATTATACAAATTTTTTACACTTTTTCGGCTACCAAATATAAATAGTTTCTAGCAAGGGCTAAAAGTGATAATACTCCTACAATTTACCCACCGAGTTGACCTGTTAGGGCCCATCTAAAATCTCATCTCTCTAGTCTCTACTCGAAAATGGAGGTCGATAAAATTAAGGAATTTTTACCTCCTACAGCAAAGGTTAACACCTTATTTATTTTAAATAAATACCATTTAAAAAAATTATATTCTATAGATACCTTTTAATGTTTATAGCAAAATATCTAATTTTGGTTACCTCCTACCCCTAAGCCACTAAATACGCTATTCAGTTACACTATTTTCTTTCTCTCTCTACTTTGATACATGCCATTCTCTTCACCCATTCCCTGAAAACACGATGCTCAATATCAAAATTCCTCTCACCCACATCACTTACCATTAGTCACAAACGGTGATTTTGCCTGGTATACCACGAAGACTTCTCTGACTTTTTCCCTCAATTTTGTGCAACCCAAATGGAATCCAAAGGAGATGAAGCCTCCGATCAGCGTGTACAACACAGCAAACCCACGAACCTATCTCAACTTCCGTCATCTTCAAGATATTAAAATTGGGGAATTTCTTTGGATTAGAGCAGCAGTAAGTGATTGAGGTGATAAACCGAATCTTCTGAGCAAATAAGCAGATGCTTATCATTTGATTAAATCCGGAATTGAATTAAATTTCCTAAAATCCTAAAACCTTTTAAGGAACACGGGTCGGTCGGAGTGTCAAGAGACAGTATTCAGGGTTTTTGCTCGACGACGGATTCGCCGAAAATTAGGGTTTGTTCTTGAACAAAGACGACGGAGTTTGGGGCCGAGCAACTTGATTTTCTGTTAATATATTTTAATGTATTTTCAACGTGTCACGCTGTATTTTCATGTATTTCATTGTATTCGTTGTCTTTTTTTTCATTGTAATTCAATGTATCTCGCTGTATTCCATGTATTTCAGTGTATTCACTATCTTTTTTTCATTGTATTTCAATGTATCCCGCTGTATTTTATGTATTTCATTGTATTCACTGTCTCGCTATATGCCATGCATGTATTCATATGTTTTTTTTATTTAATATAATTTATGTATTCAGATGTATTATATAATTTCTCTGAAGATTGCTATGTTTTTGAGGTATTTTTCGGTTGGGAATCTTTTTTATAACTGGAAATACAAAATTTGTGTGTTATAATTGAGTTTGTTGAGTTATATTAGGAGTCTATTATGTTAATTGATTCACTTTCCGTTTAAAAACCGTGTAATTCCCTGTTTCACGCCGTGAATACAGTCGAATACAATAATCTGTCCAGCTGTAATCCCATGTTTCATGCCATGAATACAACCGAATACACTCAAATACAACAACTGATTAACTGGACTTCCCTGATTCACGCCTATTTTTGCTACTGTATTCATGAATACAATAGCTTAAATACATCTAATACATCTTATAACAACAGAACATATCTACAATCCGTAATATAGCAAATGGTATCTATAGATAGCTAATTACCACTAAAATATAGTGCTTTATGAAAATTTCTCAATCAAATTCTTTAAGCAAGGGATGACACTCTAAATAAATTACTTTCTAGGCAATACCGTGAACTCACGGGGAAGGATTTTGAGTTCTCAAAAATCACAAACCTGAACACACTGCAATGTACATAAACCTAAAGCCCTAAATCATGCAGCAAAGAGATGTATGCAAGCAAGATCAATATAAAAAATGATCTAGGATTGAATGATAAAAATGGTCTGTGTTATTCATGAATACTAAACACGGACATCGAATTATAAGGGACTAGTGTATTTGCCCGTGCTTTGCGCGGTCTTGAAAAAGATCAAAATATGATTGAATGTTAAAATCATACTTTTTTTTATTAAAATCAATCATTACTAATAAAAAACTCATGATTCTTTTAACATTCTGTTTATAAATGTTTTGACAAAGAGATATTTGAGGTTAAATATGAAACCAGTTAACTCAATATTTGTATGCCTTAGTATTTTGTTTCATAGCATGAATTGTTTGAGATTTATTATTGTTGTGATAAGAAAAACAACTGATTAAAAGGGTCTTGACATTATTAATTAGAAAGAGGTGTCCCCTGGGAGGGTGATTGAAGGAGAATTAACGGAACCTCTAGTCCATAGTAAAAGGACAAATAATCCAGCCATATTCAATACACATAATGAGAATATGGTAATTAAGAATCTTTAAAATTTTACTATTCTAAAATGAAACTTTAAAAGGAAAAAAAGTTTTTTAAAAAAAAAACCTTATAAAGGATGTAGATATAATGCAATTTATTAATTGCAAAAGAAAAAGCTGAATTCCACCTCAACCATTCTATTGCAAAACCAAATCAATTTACTTGATACATACTACAGAGTGTTATCCTTGACAATATCTCTCCAACAGAATTAAGAAATTTATCCACAAAGACAAAAGGAAGAGAGCTCACAATAAGAGTAAAATAATTTGGTCTGGAGCAATCTCAAGTCCTCCACAAAAGCAAAACTCTTTTCAACAGTGCTTTTCTATTAGCATTCAACGCCTGAAAATTTCCTTATAGTACCCTGAGTTTCAAGTAATTCCAATGGAGAATCTCAAGACATTAATACACATTCATTATATGAAGAAGAAGAAAACCAAAGTTTCTGATAGAGACTTTTAGACTTTCTTTTCTTTAATTCATTGTCAGAGGATATTTCTTTACCAATTTGCCTTTTGGATTCCCCTTTTCTCGTGTTGCATTCCATTTTCTTTTAGGCTTTTCAAAGACCTTCAAGCACTGGTCTTTTCTTGCGAACACTATATCCAGTAGTGCAAATGTACAGAAATACCTTACTTTGCTTCCCAAAATGTTGTACAAACGACAACGCAACTAATTCAGTGATTTGTCATATAAACATGAAAAGCTTTTTCCTTTTCTATTTTCGTTTTTTGGGTTTTCTTTTTAATTTTAATTGGTGTTTCTTCTTCCTGGGTTGATATAAGATAATACACCATTGAGGCTATAAAAAATATACTTACTGTCATTTGGGTGCGTCGAGAGGTGCATTTAATGTCATGCACAGGAAGTTCTGCATTAATAGACAGCAAATAAATTTGTGTTGAGGATGTCACATCAAATACATCAAAATGAAAGAAAATTATTCCATCCATGAAAAACTAAATTGATTACTCTGGGATCTTTGCAGCTTCTCTAACCAAGGTTGTGTATGTGTTGGTGAAAGAAAGTCATGATTGGGTGGTTAACCTTTCCTTCGCTTTCTCCCCCTCAGAGAACCAACACGACGATGACGACGACAACGACAACAACAAAACCCAGCTTAATCCCATACGTGGGGTCTGGGAAGGGTAATGTATATGCAGCCTTACCCCTACCCTATAAAGGTAGAGAGTCTATTTTCGATAGACCTTCGGCTTAAGAAACGGTAAAAATAAAGCAAAAAGCAATAACAATAGTAATATAATAAGGTAATGAAATCGAGGGGCATAACAAGTAATAAAGAACTAGGAATAAAAGAATGCAAGAATATTACTAGTACTACTGGCAAACCTAGGAGGAACTCATAACTACATGTCAACCCACCACCTTAATCCCCGACCTCCACACCTTCCTATCGCTAGTCATGTACTCGGTTAGGTGAAGCACCGACATGTCCTGCCTAATTACTCCCCAATACTTCTTTGGCCTACCCCTTCCCTTCCTCAAACCCGCCATGGTCAATCTCTCACACCTCCTAATCGGGGCATCTATGTCTCTCCTCTTCACATGTCCAAACCATCGCAGCCTCGATTTCCGCAACTTTTCCTCCACGGATGCCACTCCCCCTTTGTTCCTCATAACTTCATTCCTAATCTTATCTTTCCTGGTATGTCCACACATCCATCTCAACATCCTCATTTCAGCTACTTTCATCTTTTGGGCATGGGAC